TACCAAACAAACCCTAACTCACAAAGTAGATCAACGTCAATATAGTATTACTGTTGTAATTTTCTAGTTCCACTCTCAATTTTCGAGTTAGGCTTAACCTAACCGTCTCTCTTTTGAAAAAAAGACATCAAGAACGGCCCAACATACTAGAGGTGGACTTTAGGTTGGACCAAGAAAATGGACATCTGATCTAAGGCCTCAGGCCCATACATAGACTAGCCTTCTTTGCAGCATTCAATCATCGTGAAGATAAAACGGAGGACCAAATCCATTGACCATTATATTTAGAAATTCGACTATCCTAGTCCTAGGCCGTAGCGTATCCGGTCTTCACAGTTCAGGCGCACTACTGACTACCGAGCTGTCACTAAATGTGGATTGAGAGTAAAAGTTTTAGGGGGCATCGTTTTGTAAAAGATAATAATATTTAGGGTGTAAATAAAAAGTTTATTGACAAAATGTCCAGAGATGAGATCCAGATCCATATACAATAATAACTAATGGTTCTTACCCTTCTACATAGGAGATTTTAGTTTAAATTTATATTCACTAATTTTGTTCATCTTTGTTCCTTGGAGGATTGAGTAATAGGAGCATTTCTTTAGGAGAAAAATTATGCAAAGATTACTTTAACTCTGGAAGAAATTTGTATAATGTTAAAATTTTAAAAAGATAATACCATAATATTAATTGTGAATTTAAATTAGAAATTTAATAAGATAAAATTATAATTCTAAATAAATAATTTACTTTTTTTTATTATATAAGATTTAAATTAGATTTAAGTAAATTTTTCATTTCGTTTATCTTGTGGATAAAGTAATCATTTTAGTTTGAATTATTTTTTTTTAAGCTTTCAATGAATTCATTTGGTCTTTAGCTTTTGGCTAACAATGCGACATAAATGGATAATCACCAATCTAATTTAAAAAAGAAAATATTAAAATCTTCAAATAAAATGATAATTTAAAATTAAATTTTTTAAAAAAATATTAAAATTCACTTATATATAGAAGATATATTTAGAGACTAATAAAATTTCAGTCTCTTTTCAATGTTTGGCCCTTAATATATTTTGAGCCTTAATGGCAAAAACATTTTAATAAGTAGTATTAAAGATAAGTTTTATTGATTTATTAATTTAAAATTTAGAAAGATAATATAATGATATTAATTATGAATTTAAATTAAAATTTTAATAAAATGAAGTTTAAATCTCAAATAAATAATTTAATCCAAAAGAAAATTTTTACGTAAGTTTCAAATTAAATGTAAATAAGATCCTGGGATTCGATTTTCTGGCTGTTCTGCATTCAGATATCCCCAGAGTTTTTTCGTTTATTTGAGAACGTGAATTTGTAGAGAGTTTATTTGAATTTGGAGTTCTAGTTTTAAATATATTGTTTATTTTTATAAAATAAAAGTGTATTTAAATATGATTGAAATATGTGTATTTTAAATTATGGTTTTTTTTATCATATACTTTAAAAGTATAAGGTAAGAATGCATTTAATTATTATATCTTTTAATTATTAATACATATAGTAAAATTAAAAGTTGATATTAATTTTATTAATTATCCAATAAAAAATATTTACATATCATATATGTTAAAATTAATATTAATTTTTTATTTTTTATGTAAATTAATACATAAAAATATATTTAATATTATTTTAACTTATGTTTTTTTGGTATAAATTAGATAAACTCTTTAAATTGTATATTTCAAAATATAAAGTACGTGTATTTTAAATTCCTTTCTTATCCCATGAATTTCAATTTTAAAATCTTCTATTTCATTTAAGATCATCAAAGTTTTTGATCAAGCATGTTATTTGCTATTTGGTAAACTCGGATCGAGGTCTCTCTCCTTATTTTAGCAATCTTCTCTAACTAATGTTAGTAGCCCGCAGGTGAGGAATTTTTAAGAGGAGAGAATTTGGCTTTAAGGAGTATATTATTGAGTTTGTGGTTGGTTACTGGTTATAAATTGAGGTAAAATTTAATTTTTCATTTTTTTGTTTACTCGTATCATTGACCTAGTAACAGGAGGTAAGAAAAATACCAGGGGAGAGAAAGAGGAGTTCATGCTCTTGTTAATAAAACGTGAAATACAGGTAACTTGTATATAAAGCATAAAAGGTGATGAAATCTCCTAGTTTATTGTCTTAAAAGAGCAAATTAAAATGCCTAATAAATATTTGTTAAAATGGCTTAAAGATACACAAGCAAAAGAGAAGAATAGTTCACTAAGTATGGTAGAGAGTCTTCTTATCTGGCTTCTCAAATGTGTGTCAAAATGCGAGAAGGAAATTTATTTAGGTGAAATTTAATTATAAATTTATGATATTTTAACATATTTAAATATTAAATTTTAAAAAATATATTTTTACTATATATTTAAAATATACACTTTAAATATAAATATATGTTCCAAAAATAAATTGATATAAATGGATGTGATGATTTTTTTTTTTTCTAATAATTTTTTAGAGTTAAAATTTTGAGTTTGATGTATTGGTTCTGGTTGTGATTGGCATGTCAGTGCTCAGTGTTAATTGGTATCATGGAAAGTCACCTCTTTTGTAACAGTGAGGCCATGACTTGACCTCCCCTGTCTCACAATATGCAATGGACCCTTTGTGTAGATTTTTTCTAGCGAAAAGGAAACCTTAAGTGTGTGACAATTTGTCCAGATAACTTCTGCGTCATTGCTTACATTTTCATTTTGTGTGTGATAATTTTCAGATGCATCATAATGAAAGTTAAATACGATTCATATATGGTCCCAAATTAATCCCAATCCATGCACAATAACAATGCACCTTTTCTCCGCCACGTTTCTTTCAAAATGTTGTTTTTGTCATCAACATCTTCGACTGTAATGTGGCCTCCACTCTCAATAATAGCTATATATCTATCGTTTGAAAAGAAAATGCAACTATAATTAGAGAGAGAATTTCTTAGCCGTGGCACCAAAATATGAGACCCAGCTGTAACTTGTGCGTCCTTCGTAAAGTGTTTTTTTATAAGTTTTAAATTATAAAAAATATTAATTGAAAATATAATTTTTTAAAGATATTAATAGTACAAAATAATAATATTTAAAATGTAAATAAGAGTTTATCGGCAAAATGTATGACAAAATGTCTACAGATGAGATCCAAATCCATATATAATAATAATGAATGGTTCCTACCCTACTACACAGAAGATTTTACTTTAAATTATATTCACTAATTTTGCTCATCTTTGTTCTATGGAGGATTGAGTAATTAGAGCATTTCTTTAAGATAAAAATTATGCAAATAAAACTTTAACTTTGGAAGAAATTTGTATAATGTTGAAATTTAAAAGGATAATACCATAATATTAATTGTGAATTTTTAAATTAAAATTTTAATAAGATGAAATTATAATTTCAAATAAATAATTTAGTCTTTTTATTATATAAGATTTAAATTAGATTTAAGTAACATTTTTTTTATTTTGTTTATCTTGTGAATAAAGTAACTATTTTAATTTGAATAATTTTTTTTAAGCTTTCAATGAATTCATGCAGTCTTTAGGTTCTGGGTAATAATGAGAAATAAATGGATAATCACCCATCTAATTTAAAGAAAAAAATATTGAAATTTCCAAATAAAATCACAATTTAAAATTAAATTTTAAAAAATAAAATATTAAAATTCACTTATATATAGAAGATATATCTAGACATTAATAAAATTTCAGTCTCCTTTCAATATTTGGTC